GGGATTCCAGCTTTTCTAGGTTAATGGCGGGTTGCTGTGCAGATTCAGGTAGTTCTTGGGCCCAGAACGGCTGCATTACCCGTGTACTTCCATTTTGTACTGTACCATATTCGTCTAGGGCAGCTAGATCAGCTGCATGAGCTGCATCCTTCGTTGGTCCTTGCACCGGCCATCCGCCTACTGATGTAGGCCGAGCGCCTTGGATGAAAGGGGGTTGCATGAAGGCATTAGGAAGTCCTTCAGACATGGAGAGGGTTCTCTTCCGAGTGAGACCCTGGTTATCGATAGATGGAGAGAAGTCCTGATAGCCCCGACCAGATGTGCCATCTTCGTTCATTTGCTGATAGTGCATATCCCCTGGTTGCATTGGTGGCTGCATTTGAGTCTCCAGGCTGTTGATACGGTCTGCCAGCTCCTTGATGTATCTTGTCGAGAAGGTTAGTTAGACGGAACAGTCTAGTCAAGGGATATGGACAAACTTACCCTTTGCTTGGACCTCGCTTCATTGGAACGCGGCTGAACTCGCATGTTGCGCCAGTACGGCGACAGTTTGAACATGTCTCCACACCAGCTTCCGAGGTGGCATCACATCGGACCTAAAAATATCAGTGAGTAGAAAGAACATTAGATACACACGAAATAGGCGTGCATTGGCTAAAATGACATACCTTCTTCCTACGACACTCGTCACATGCGCGAGAGACCTTTGAGCGTTTCCGGCGAGCGCTCTGGTCCCCATAGCTCAAGTCATGGTTGGGGTCGACTCCAGACTGCTGGGTAGATGAGAACTGAAGCATATGCTGCTGGCCCTGGGAAGGCTGCTGCACCTGGTGATCTTGCTGCTGTTGCTGTCGTTGCTGCTGGCGAACCTGCTGCTGGTCAACGCCCACAGTTCCGTCAGCGTTGGGCCCAGATGAGCCTAGCACCATCCCCTGGCTATGGGGCAGCCCGTTCGCCGCCGCCGCAGCAGCAGTGGCAGCAGCAGCTACCGACGCAGCGTTCCCGCCATCCACGCTGGCCCCGGCCACCTCGCGGGACAGCTCTGCAGACAAATGAAGCTCATCTGCGGTCAGATGGCGCTGGTTGGCATAGTAAGACACGGTGCCCTGCGCTATCTGAGCAGCGTTGGGCGAAGGGTACGACGGAGCTGGCGGGATCTCCGAGTGCTCTCGAGAATTCATGGTGGGCCAGTCAGGACCTGTACCCTGTTATCCAAGACGGTCTTCAGTCTCTAGCCTCTTTGTTTTTTTTTCGCTGTTGTATTTATGTGTGCCGTGTGGGTATGCGGTTGGCGGCGCGCGCGCACGAAGCTGGTACTCGATGCGTGGCGGGAGTGTTTCTTTCTCTCGTAGCCTGTCAAACACGGTCAGCTCATAGCCCTCTGACGGCCGCCTCCAGAATCGTAGACCAGGCAGCGTCAACCGGGAGCCATGGACGTCCATCCTGCAGGGCCTCCCGGCGCGTCGTTAGGACAGCTCCAGCAAAGGGCCCATCCTGCGAGCAGGGCCAATTGCACGACAACGACGTCCGTCCTCGCCCCGACGCGGCGACACCAAAAAGCAGAGGCAACAAGGGGGGAGCAAGTAACCAACTTTTGTCAACGGCGCTGAACGCGAAGCTGCCGGCTTTCCTTCTGTCCTGCCCGTCAGACGGAGCGCATTATCTAGATAGCTTTTGCTTTCGACGCGGAGGACGGGTATTGTTTTATGCGAGGCTCGCTGGCTTCCAAGTCCAGGGAAAAAAATAAAGACGAAGCGGATTTTTTTCTTTTATTTTGGCGGAAGAAAAACGGAGCGAGAGTTGCCTCTTTGGGAGGTCACCTGATGTTGTATTAGTAAGAAGTGACTAAGAGAAGTCATTACTAAGTGATGAGTAAGTGATGACTAGATAGATGAGTAAGAAATGACTAAGTGTATAGATGACTAAGATGACTAAGACGTATTTACGATTGCTCTAAAGGTCTAAATACTCTACAACGCTACAGAGCACCTCCCCCTGGGTCTATATATAATAAAAAAAAGTGGCAGACAAGAAAAGAGGAAAGGACATATGCATCACTGGTGGGAAGGTTGCTTGGTGGGGTGGGGAAAGGGGGGCGGAGGCTAGGTTTGTTCGTTTGAGGCACCAGATGGATGGTTTGAGGAACCAGCTTGAAAAACATCTATGTTCATTAAAATATCGTTCTATCGCTTCGGGAAGTCATATCGGCGTTCATGTGTGTTTTAGCATGATGCGTTAGACGGAGTGGAAGTGCGACCCAGTGGGCGGGGTGTTCACCGAGTCCATATTTGAGCCTGTTGTTGTTGTTGTTGCTGTTGCTGTTGTTGCTGTTGTTGCTCGGGGACGGAGATGGAGACCGGGGACATCATGGTACCCGGGTAGGAAGCCGAAACCCAGAGCGGCTCGTTTGCCCCGGCAGAGGTGTAGGCGGCGGGTGGGATGATCATGGGGGCGTTGCTGGCATCGACAAAGCTGCTGTGGCTTCCGCTGGCAGGATATGCCTGCGTCTGCTGCTGGTGATGGTTGTTGACGTCGACGCCGTCATTTGCTGCGTGGAGGACCGGCTCAATGGCAGCAGGCTTGTAGGTCTGAGACATGGCGAACTGGGAGGGCAGGTCGAGCTGGGAGGGCGGCGTGCTGCCCAGGTGATACATGCCGGCCTCGGAGCCGGTGCCGACGATGGGCAGCAGCTCGTCGGCATCAGAGGTGTCTCCGGACGAGGAGCGGGCCAGGCCAGGGTGGCCGAAGGTGGTGGTGTTGTAGTCATAGCTGGCATAGGAGGCTGGCTGGCTGTAGGTTGCGGTGTATGCGTCAGAGCCGTACGGCAGATCAAAGGTGGACCAGTCTATGGACGGCCCGTTTGAGATCGCCGCCTCAAAGCCAAAATCGATATCTGACGGGTAGTATAGCCCGGGAGACTGTTGTGGGTAGTCCAAGATGGGCATTGACAGGCCCATCTGGTCTGGGAAGTGCTGGTAGGGGATGTCGAGGGAGAGCTGTGCCTTCATGTCAGACACCTCTGCGACCGGGGAGCCGTTCTCAGACTTGACTCTCCGTACAGGACGAGGGGCACTGGTGACCAGGTCTGGGTACGCGGAGACGCCCTGAGAGCCGTATCCCTCATTCAGGTGGTCCATCGACAGATGAGCCAGGTCAGCGGTCCCATGGATGGTTCGGGAGCGAGGCAGCGGATATGGATGGACCCGTTTGCTGGCTTCCTTTTGCTTCTTGGAGGTGGTAATATGCGGTCTCTTGACGCCAGAGACAGTAGACCGTCTTGCCGCTGCGACGGGGCCGGTCTCGGGCACGGTTTCGAGGTTCGAGTCTCGCTTGGACGCACAGGTGCAGCGGCCGCCATGTCCACAGCAGCAGTGCTTTCGGCCACCAGCGGTTTCTAAATAAAAAAACAAGTATCAGACCCGGGTGCCTCACAAGCGGTGAAAATGACGAGGTCAAGGAAGGGCATGCTCACTCTGGCCGTCAGCAGCGGTTCCGTTCAGCGGACAATCCGCCTTGCTGTGTGGTTTCTCGCCGCACTCGCACTTTGCGTGGCTTGTCCGGGCTTTGCGTAGGCCACGACAGTGAGGACATTGCGACACTGGCCGGCCTTTCTTGTTGATATGGCTCAGGGGGCGATCTACAGGCGTAGGCAGAGCATATTAGCAGGCAAGAAGAAGAAGAAGTAGTAGTAGTAGTAGTAGTAGATGAGTCTGGCTTACCCGAGTGGTTGCAGGTGCTAACGCGATGGCCCCGGATACAAGCATCGCACGCCCATTTCTCGCCGTCAATCAACATAGCCACCGAATTGAACTGCTGCTCTGGAGTTCGGGAGGAAGAGAGTAGTAATAGTAGTAGTAGAGAAGAAAAAGATGGCTTGCAGGAGACAGCAGTAGAGTAAGACGAGGACGAGGAAGAGGGAGGAGGAGAGACGGGAGGAAGAGCTGGCGGAGATGGAGGATCCCACAGACAGACAGAGAGAGAGACGGCAGTGATCACGAAATCCGGCAGTAGAGGCCCATAGTATCTCTCACACGACAGACAGACAGACAGGAAGAGCAGCGAGAGCAGAGGCGAAGATAGCAAAGAGGAAGACAGGTACAGGAGAGGCAGAGGCAGAAGCAGAGGCAGCGAGACAGCGAGGCAGCGAGGGCTATAGAGGCCGGGACTCTGACCGACGGTGCAGACGAAGAGAGGCGGCCGGCGAGGTAGACAGACACATCGAACTCGACTGGGGGGGGGGGAGGAGGAGGCAGCGGAGGGCGGGAGGGACGTCTAATATATCCTGGGGGCCTCTTTGTGTCTCGACCGGCGGCGTCGCTTGATGCTGGCGGTGCTGGCGGTGCTGGCGGTGGCCTGGGGGGGGGAGGTTTGCTTGCTTGCTTGCTTGCTTGCTTTGCTGCTGCTGCTCGCCCGCGATCGAGGGTTGGCTGACCCGGCGGTTGGGTCCTTTTTCCTTTTCTCTCTCTCTCTCTTTGCTGGCTCTGCTGGCTCTGCTGGCTCTGGCAAGGAAAAAGCAACGACGAGTCGACAGCCGACCGAACCTCAGGCACAAGCCAGCGCCAGACGCAGCGCCCAGCGGAGAGACGAAACCAAGCAGCTTATCAGGGACTGGCGACGGGCTTTGCGGTCTGGGGGACAAAGAAGCTGGAGCAGGACTGCTAAGTTTTCAGTTTTCCGCCGGTTCTTGCGGTGCAGAAACTGAACTGCTCGATCCCTGGGCCGCTCTTATTATTAGGTTTGCTCCATGGGAGTTATGGGGCCCTTTTTTTCCAACGCAGAAGCAGAAGAACCTAGAGAGACGGACGCAGGATGGGACAGGAGTGACAGGATGGGACAGGATGGGACAGGAGTGACAGGAGGGTCTGGATGCTACGGATGGACGCAGGATGGGACAGGAGTGACAGGATGGGGCAGGATGGGACAGGAGTGACAGGATGGGACAGGATGGGACAGGAGTGACAGGAGGGTCTGGATGCTACGGATGGATTGGGTGGTCGTCTTGCCTGTCTCGCCCAAATCGAAAGCCAGGCAGGATTAATTCATGGATACGGGAGATATTCTACCCATCCTCTTGTCTGTCTGTCTGCGGCCTCCGTTGCTGGCTGTCTCACGGACCGAGCCTGGGTCAATGTCCCATCCCGCAGCATGGGACAGACAGGCTCCCTGCCGCTCTGCTGACAGACATCCCATAACCATAACCATCCCGCCCGGTCTATACTAACTAACTAGTTACTAGTTACTACGAAGTCTACCAGAGAGAAGCAGAAAGAAGCAAATACGGACAACGACGACGACGACGAAGCCAGCAGCAGCAGCAGCATGACGAAGAGAGCAACCTCTCCACCTCAAGGCGAAATCAACAGCAAATCTGGATCTCTTGGCGATTCAGGGATGGACTCAGAAAGGATATCTCGAAGCAGCAGAAGAAGCAAAGAGACCAGAGACCAGAGACTCAGAGACTCGGAGGCCTGTCCTCTCCCCCCTGCTCCAGCGTCTCTCAAGCACCATCATCAGCATCATCAGCACCAGCATCAACACCAGCATCAGCATCCCTCCCTCCCTGTCCGCGCTGTCCGGTCCTCATTGGATCAATGCATGGGGCTTTTGTGGACTGTGGATTCCAGAAGCCTTCCATGGGATTTCCGCTTTTGGCCGTAGCTAGGCCAGCTTCTTTGGCCTCTCAACGAAACAAAAAGCAAGCATAAAACAACAACATCGACCTTGTTACATTTTATTATTATGCTTCGGCATCAGGAAGGGGGATGGAGAAGGCTTCTTGAACGTCATCGGGGATTTTTTTTTTTTGTTTTTGTTTTTTGTTTTTTCTTTTTGTTTTGGCCCTCCCAAGCCACCCACCAGGGTACATACATACATACTTACATCTTCCTTCCACACCCCGCCTGGTTCCGATGTTGGGATTGCTTTCTTACGATGGGCATAGCGTATATACTCTCTGGCATCGTTTTTTGCGCCTGCTGGCCCCCTTTCGAAGAGGAAAAAAAGTGGAGGCAAGCGTCTTGCGAACCTTCCTGAGAACCTTGAGCTATTAAAAAAAGGTTGGAGGCTTTGCATCAGTCTCCTGTCCTTGGGTCCTGGAGACGAGAGAGGTGGGGAGGGATAACAAGCCGATAGCCGCTTTAGGAGACTTCGATATCTGATCCACCGCCATCGGATTTGTTGTCTACTAGGAGAGGAGAGAGGAGAGAGGAGAGATACCGTCTCCCATTCTTCCTCTTGGGAGAGAATGAACCAGCACACAGCAATGCTATACATAGTAGCACTGGAAGCAGATACATAGTTATAGGCAACAGCTGCATAACTACTGCCAGCTCAGCCTCAAGAACAGCGCTAAAGGGGTTGAAAGTGAATGCGGATGTTCAACTACTTACTCCATACTCGTGACGACAACAACTACGGGCCTACACAACAATAACCGACAGGCCCTCTTCTGCTGGCCATGGTTCGTTCCTGGGCGCCGTAAAGATGATTTGCGCTAGTATCAGAAACTACCATGCATTTCCCCCTCTCGCACCGAGCCTTTCTCTCCAAGATGTCGAAGGCCCGGAAACAGGGCATGAAACTTTCATCCTGCCTGAGCCCCGTTTCCTCCGCTTCCATTTTCCCCCCCTTGCCTGGCACAGTTTGCAATCCACATTATTGCATTTTATTCTCCTTCTACGGAGTATGCCTGTGACATTCCCTTGACCTTCGCTCCGGCCACTTGGAAACTCATCCACCCCCTTTCTCCTCTATCTCTCTCTCTCTCTCTTTATCCAACTGCGAGGTTCCCGGTACGCTTGGGGGATAGTCTCCCTCTATCCGCTTTGAAGAATTCTCCCAAGCTCGTATTTCCTGATCGACAGTTCGTCTTTCGTCTTGATCCTTGCGCAGATTATCGCCAGGCTCTTCGGAATATGCTCCTTGGCATCATCATCTAGTCATCTCTAGAGAAAGACAGAAGTATGAATCCTTGCAGTCCTAACCTGCATACTTCAAACTTTCAAACTCTCTAGTCCGTCCAACTGCCATTATTTTCTTCTTCTTCTTCTTCTTCTTCTCTCTCTTTTTTCTTTTTTACCTTTTTCTTTTCAGAAGAAGTCGCCTGCTGCCGAGTGAAGACAGGCTGGCCGTCTTCCTAAGCTTCCGAATGTTGCACACTGCATGCAAGCAATGGCTGGGATTACCAGAACTCCCCGGCTTAACAAGTTTACCATATGTCCGATCCCCAGATCCAAATTAACATTAACATCCAACTCCGCGATCTACATACGCATCGTCTTCTTTAAACACCTCAGCGCATCTCTCCTGCTGGCGCACGTCCTTTTCATGTTGACATTACTGTACCTTCCGCCACTGGGGAATTACGGAGCAAAGCACAACTCACTGCGAGCGGCGGCCGGCCCTGATGAGTAGGCACAAGCCTCTTCCGTCACCAACCCCTCCCCCAAGACGATCAATCGAAACCAGCTGACGAGGCATGGGGAGGGGTGAGATGGATTGTTTTTCACCTTAGCGCCCAAATTTCTCCAAAAGATATCAACATCCCGTCGGTTGCACCAAAATTTTGCCCACTTCGGGGCCAAAGTTAACTAAACTCGTTCAACCTTGGATCAGAACTTGGCACAGTCAAAAAGAACAATCAACATCTCGACTTTCTTCATCCAACTAAACTAGCTAGTTTTTTTTCAGACAGATATCAGCCCGTCCGTACATCTTGTCAAGAAGAGATGACAGATGCTTGGTCCAGCCAAGCCCCCTTATGGAACATTCCACCGTCCTTCTAGCTCTATACTAAAAACGGAACAAAGCCATCCTACAACTGAAGACGACCGCTATAAGCGACCCAATCAGCAACCCAATAAGGCTATCCGTTTCCTTTTAGAAAGGCCACGGAATAGGAATGGTTCCTGCCCTCCATCAAAAGCTACTTTTTTCTTGCCCCAACTAGCGCCATTGTTGTCCCCATATGACTTTACTATGGGGCATCGATGATAATGGCGTATGTCTTGTTGAACCTCTCTAGCTATGGAAAAACATGCCATTTGCGTAACCTACGAGCTCGCCTAGCTGCACACCAACCGCGTTTCACTACATATGCAGATAATATCCTCCACGGGGCAGCCAACAACAAGCCCCGTAGCACTGCGGCTTAGATGGAAACCACTATGTATATACCCATCGCCATACCGCCGGGAACCATCACATCAACGAAGCCAAGACTGTCGTTTTTTGTTGGTTACCCACACATCCTTCAGATAACTTCGGCTTATCACATACTCAAACTAATAGACACCGGTGCCGAATATCTATTTTGGTTTCTTTTATTTTTTTTTTTACCCCCTTCCCCTCATGCTTTGCCTTTAATCGGGTATCGTTTCCGTGGACCTCTCCTCCTATGATTACCCCCAGGTAAGGCTGATCCAACCCCTCGAATCAGTTATTTAGCTTCTTCTGCCGCAGGATATGACACTCCAATGCCACACTTTGTTTAGAACAAGCCTTGTGGAGGCTCATCCTAATCCGGAAGCACTAGTCTCAAGCTATGGTCACTGACAATGCTCCATACTACTGCCTCTATCTTCCTTGGGCACAGAACAGGGCCCGATACCGGATATGATGGCGTTCTCCTTCGTCTTTAGCACCTATCACGCAACAGACGTTAGAGTTCTTGCTCTCCTTACTGGCCTGGTCCACTTAGTGCTATTCATAGGACTGATTCCCTGGTGTGATTGATCACTAGATTTGGCCCCCCTCCATCTAGTATTGCCGGAAAACGTCTAGTCTGCTAGACTAGCATATCTGTGACCGCTTCAGATTCCATTGTGCTGCCATGTTCTGTTTACATGGCAGATATTACCCTAGTTCCTTTCCAGCCCCTCAAACATCACAGATGGTGTTACGAGGCAGGAAATGGCAAAATAATGTAACTTGTCTCGAAAAAGGCCATGCTCCCTTGACCATGCGTTGCTCTTGCATTCATCTAGCACGGAAAATTTCCCATGTGAATGCATAGGCACCACGATGCAAGAAGCCGCAGCCTGAGAATAAAGATTGGCCTGTATCATATCATGCATAACTACAACGCTTATGCATTGGCCTATGAGGTGTTTTTCATTTTCATTTTTTTTTTTTCCTTTCGTTCTCCTTGGCCATGATAAATGTTAGCATCAAGTCATAGTCTCGATGGAGGTATGGTCTGATGGGCCTAAATTCTGCCTTGCCTCCATGATAATTCCTAAGTGATGAACTCCATCACTTAGAACGGCTAATGCAGACTTCGTTATACCCACCCACCAAAGTTGGCTATACATGAATTGCGGCACAGCAAAGCTGTTTCATGTTTCTGAAATGGTCTACACAGTCCTGACTCGAACACATATCTAAATACCTCATATTTCATACCTATCAAGGCCCATCATAGAAGGGGACTTCTTACAGATAGATGAAGTTTTTATGATCTGACCCACACACACACACTCACTCACACGCAGTTCATAGCGAGACAGAGAAGCCTAGATAGAAAAAAATTGAGACAAACAGAAATATAGATACCCTAGCCGCCAGCTCCACTTAGATCCAACTCTCCCAGTATGCTTATCTATACCCTCCTTGCTCTTCAAAGAAAAGCAACCAGTATTGCGGTGTTCGCCGTCTGCCTTTCTCAGGTGATTTTCATGCATGATCAGACGATGCATCGTGATCTTGCCCCTGGACCGCCTTATTCCTCATCCATGGTCTTGGAATGCAGTCAGACACCCCTGCTTAGGGTTGTGAGCCCAATACTACCAACCCAATCCCTGGTTTAGACTTCATCCAGTATTCCCGCAATTCTAGTGAAGTTCATCCAGATCAAGAGCAAAGGATCTACCTGGCTTGGATATTTCGCTATCTGCCGTCATGACACATAGAAATCGACCAAGTTGTACTTTGTCGTTCTTGCGTTTGTTTCAGACAGTACTCTGCCGTTATGTACGGTGGCAAAGAGTGATGGATGATCAATGAATGTCGAGTTTCTCTTCTGGGTATCCCGTGGGTAGCTCAGCTTAATGTCTACGGTATAGCAGAATAGCTCGATTCCACATTCCAGTTGCCGATGAGACCGGCACTGGTGCCCATATGTCCGCGGAGAGGATATCCTCGAGGTGATTTCGAGGAGATAGACATGCTGGTGGCCCACAGTTTTACCTGATGAACTATTTCCTGCATGCTGTTTGATATCCGGGCTACTACTCGTAGTAGTAGTAGTCACCAGAGTGCACAAGCGAGATGTCTTGAAGATCTCCTGAATACCAACTCCATATCAAGAGACTGGAAATAAAATACATATTCCAAGTAGCAGGAAACGATGTATGGCGGCTGGTTGAAGCTGCCTAATATCGTTATGTGAAATCTGTGAGGTTGACGTTGAAGTCGAAGTGTCTTCCGTTTTGGGATACAGATGGCGGGGAGAGAACTTCACCTGCAAAATGGCCCAGAAACACCATCACCGACAGCTAAGATGATAAGAGAATTTACCGAACACATCAAGACAAGATAACACAGGAAAAAATAGAGGCTATTGCTGACTCTTATAGACATATTCTGCTTGTCACAGCCAGGGAGAAGACAGCATGTCTTACTCCAATCCTCCCTCCACCGCACTTCACGACGGAATGCTGAATCTGCCAATCCTCAAGTTCTCGTATACTACTACGTCTGCGGACTGTACCGCTCCGTTAGCGTGGACACATCTATCTGGTGGCTCCGACCTGTCGGTCAGTTTCTCTGCTATACGTGTAAGAGACGAGACCTCAAAGTGGACAAGGGAGAGCAAGCTGCTGAAAGTTTTGAAAGGGCGGGAGGTGTTGGTATGTCCACCTGAATGAAGCTCGTGGGTGTGGCCGGAGGAATGGCTAATATGACTGGGTATGGCATGCGGGTAGGAGGAGATTGATCTGGGATTACTCGCGAAGAGAGGAGCGTCTATATCTGCGGGGGATGCTAAGGCGCCAGTGGCCATCGTTGTGAAGACTCCATGTCTAGCTATACGATATCCGTCCATTGCTAACCAGGTATTTACACGGGCTATCTTTGGTGTCGATTTTACAGGGCTAACATTGCTAGACTCGTCGGTTCCAAGTGAAATTTGCCTCCGCAGGAGATTATAACCAAGCCATAGCTGTGCTAAAAGAAGCAAAATGCCCGATAACCGAGCCGCCGTCATCAGCGGTACAGATGTTACCATATACAACTCCAGCACTAAGGTCCAGGTATGCAGGGACGGACCCTCGTAATGTCCCGCCAACTCCAGAATCAATAATAACACCTTCGTGTTATTATACGGATGGATTGAGTACTCGACCGGCCTCATCAGCATTCGCAGAAACGCGGCCATCATCAATGGTAAGTACTCCCTCTTTCTGTAAAGCCTAGTCGAGGGTGAAATAACCGTGTAAATTAGGAGTCATCAATGACTCTGCCAAACCTACCTATGGCTCGCTCAAGCTCGGTCCTGGCACAGTCGCATTGTCCAAAGCCGCCACAGACAAATGCACAAGCAGAGTCAGAAGCAGAAGCACAGGTAGAATCAGCTCCTCGGCCATCAACAGCGCCAACTTTCCTCACTTCAGAGTCTATTAGCCAGCTTCTGCCACCGAAGCGAGACCTGCCATTTGCAAAGGCAAAGAAGAGGCTTGCTGAAAGATCTCCATCAGGGGTTCCCAGCCCCAAGAAAACAGGTAGAGTTGGTCAGGGAAGAGGTGGCCAGCATAATGCTTGCCCAGCAGCTGCAGAGAACGTAGCCAGAACAGCACATACGTTAATGGCAGGACCGAGCGTACAACAAGCCAGCCACAGTCTAACGAGGGGCAAAGAAGGCGAGAAAGAAGGTGAATCTGGCCGTGACATTGCAAGGCCCCTCCTTCCATCTCCGAGCATTTCGCCGCAGAAGGGAGGGGGCAAACACGGGGTGAGAAAAGACACGATCACCACCACAGATGGTGCAGTAGCGGGAGAGAAGGATATCGGCTGCTCCAAGAGCACAGGCCTCCTTCCATTTACCCGTGAAGATCTGTCGAGCTACGCTTCGCGCCCGAACGCCGAACGATCCGATCTGATCGAGTCGTGGGTATGCCAGCAATTGCAAAACGACTCGTTCATAACGCTCTGCCAGGACATGGAGGGAGTCTGGAAACGACTTGCATTTGGATTTTGATCCAAGCTGACCATGGAGGGAGGAAGAAACTAGCTGGTTATGTCAGCCACCGCAGGTAACCGATGCCTTGATGACGAAAAATAGACCATCAGTCGCGAATTTAAGAGAATCGTGCTGCAAAGGGAGAAGATGAAGGAAGAAATGCAGAGAGAAAGCCAGCTTAACTTCCCGACCAACCGCTGACCCACTGTAAAGAGGCAGGTTAGATAGCTAACTAGTACGGAGTACTTTAGCAGTTGTTGATTCTGAACAATTCTTAGATGTCAATTCCGCGTAACCATTATTAAATACCCGCTTTCTGTTCCTCAGGTACCTGGTCCAGTCCGCAACGCAGAAGGTAACACGTTAACTAATAATGCCTGATACATGGGAAGCCAGAAGGACTATCATTGTAAGCAGAACGGAAGCTTGCCGAGACTTCTGGTATGCACAGCGCACATACCTCTAACCAGGCCATCGAAGTGTGGGAAATCGAACTGTTTAGTGTCGAACACCACTCCTGTTAGGTTGAGAGCCGGTACCCTCCCGGCCCCTAGAAAAGAGATGGGGAGGATGACGGGCTAAACCAGGGGCTCAGCCAGGGGCTCTCCCAATCGCGATGCGTCGGCCATTCCCATGTACCAGACGGGCACCGTTGGGCAGGCTGTGAAGAACGGAGATCCAGACATGGCGGCACCGTACAGGACATCCATCCCTATCGACGAGATAGCTTATATTTAATTCTCCCGACCCATGTTTTGTTTTTTTACGTAACTTATCCCATCATCCGTCGCCCGTCGCCTCTGCTTGCTCGCTCGACGTCCGCCATTGACCCAAAAACATGACCCTGAGTCCAAGGGGTTTTCCGTGGCCGCGGGAAAGGAGAGCAGAAGTATCCGGGGCCAGCTGAGCTTCGGGATATCGATGAGGACGACACGGGCCCAGCTTGTAGACGGGGCAGATGCAGGATGGTTGTTGGCCTGTTGGACCAAGCTATGCCGTGGTAAGCTGTGCCTCCGCGGCCAAATTATCCGAGCTGGCGAGGAGCTATCTGCTAGCTCACCAACAGTTCGACTGTTGAGTAGCCTCATCTGCCCGGTCGACGAGTTAGCTATGCCGTAGCTGCTGCCTCCGGACAGGCTGCGCGCTGCTGTTGATATCTTGATATCTTGATGTCTCGACGGCGCTGCTATGACGTGCCCAAAGCGGAAGTACCAGGTACCCGCCGTTAGTATGGCGGGCCTGCTTAGTCAGAGGTACTAGCTACTTAGAGCGGGGTTGACACGTGCCGTCATGTGACTTGACTGCTCTCCTCCAGGAGCGGCCAGCGACTCCGCGGTTTGGCCCTTTTTTTGTCTTTGCCTCGAGCTGTAGAGCCATCGTCAGCTTCGTCTGCTACGCCTGCGAGTGACGGGAGATAGCAGTATTCTTCTCTGGCCGTTGTGCTGTCGTGTTGTGCGGCCAATGGGCAACGAACCACAAGCTGCCGTGACGGAGTATCGCCTCGCCTAGCTAGCTATCTATACATAGATACCTACCTAACCTACCCCAACAACACCAACCTCCACTTTTGCCGGCTGATATATACACACCTGCGTGTATATATATTGCGCCCAGGAACGTATCTCCACCCCCCTCTCACCATCTACAGCAGCAGTCTCGTCACAGCTATAGCCATGGCCTCTCCTCTCAAAGGAACGGCGACCTCTGCAGCAGCCAAAGCAGCCACAGAGACGAAAGCAGCCATGTCCTCGCCCTCGTCTTCCTCCACATCCTCCTTCCGCAACTCTCCCTTCATCCGGGCTGCTCTCCCTTTCTTCAACGGTGGTGTAGCCGGGATGACGGCCACGGCGTGTATCCAGCCCATCGACATGATCAAGGTCCGCCTCCAGCTCGCGGGAGAGGGTGTCAAGACCGGCCCCAAGCCCAGTGCCATAGGCGTTGCCCGCGAGATCATTGCCTCGGGCCGCGTGCTGGATCTTTACACGGGTCTTTCAGCCGGCTTGCTCCGCCAGGCCGTTTACACCACCGCTCGTCTGGGTTTCTTCGATACCTTCATGGGCATACTGAACGGCCGGGCCGCCTCCAGAGGAGAGAAGGTAACCTTCGTCCAGCGTGCGGGAGCAGGTCTCTCTGCCGGTGGTCTGGCAGCCATGATAGGCAATCCAGCCGACCTTGCCCTCATCCGCATGCAGTCCGATGGGCTTAAGCCTGCTGCTTCTCGTGCAAATTATACCTCCGTCGTCGATGCGTTGGTGCGTATCTCGCGGACTGAAGGCATCTCGGCCCTATGGGCAGGAGCCTTCCCAACCGTTGTTCGAGCCATGGCCCTTAACTTTGGCCAGCTCACTTTCTTCTCGGAGGCCAAGTCACAGCTGCAGACTCACACCAACCTCTCGGCACAGAACAGGACGTTTGCGGCGTCTGCCATTGCCGGCTTCTTTGCCAGTTTCATGTCTCTTCCCTTCGACTTTGTGAAGACCAGACTTCAGAAGCAAACCAAGGATCCAAAGACCGGTGTCCTGCCATACAAGGGGGTATTCGATTGTGCTGCGAAGGTCATTCGTGAGGAGGGCTGGTTGAGATTCTACCGCGGCTTCGGAACATATTATGTTCGCATTGCTCCACATGCGTAAGTCTCCTTTCCTTTTGACACAGACATAGTCCTCTTAATAACATTGAATCAGCATGATAACACTCATCGTCGTCGACTACCTTAACCTGATCACTTGATGTTGTTCGATTAAAGAATTTGAACTGCTGTTGAGTGACAAGTATCCACTTCGTCCCTTATGTAAGATGAGGCTCTCCACCGGTTCATGCACGGAAGATCCAACACCAACAACAACACTAAGGAACATCATCAATCAGCGTTTATATACGGATACTAGCAACATTGTTACAAGGAATGAATTTGTGGGAACTTCCGTTCCTGGGAGGACGAGAAGAAGAAGAAGCAGGAGGAGAAGTAATGAAGAACGGATGTGAGAAATGAAGCTTGCACACCTACCTGCATTAGCCTGACTTCGAAGACCAATTATATACTTACTTTGAACCACGGAGTCAGGGGGAGCTCATGACATTCTTATGGTCTAAAGAATCATGAAAGAGGAGGATTGCTGTTCTCGGCTGTATTTGCTTCTCTTACTTTCACAATGAGTCTGCGTTCGTTATTCATGGATTTTAGTACCCCGGATTCGGGTATAACATCACTTATCGTTGTTAATGTCATTTCAGTTGCTAGTCAGTTTCGTTTTTATAACTATATCCAACTAATTAAGACCATATTTTTAAAGCTTTCACTACTCCATCTGTGTATCGGGGATACGGGATGGAGATCTTGTCCTCTCGCTCTTTACAACAACCCGTCTTCCCCCGTTCGCTGCTTTGCTCCTCCTCATCAAGACACTGTCGTCTTCATCCATTTCAAGATCCTCGCCTTCACCACCATCTTCATCGTTGTTTTCTTCCGCTTCCGCTGCAGCCATGCGTATGGCCTTCTTCACCCGTCTTATCAATACAGGATCCCTCTTTAGATCATGCATTGTAATCAAAACATTGCAGACAGGACACTTGACGCATCGTATATTTCGCCCACGAGAACTGTCATTGGGTAAGGGAACAAAGGTGTTCTGACGACTTCGGTTTAACATGCTCTCGATAGCAGATCGTTCGAAGCTGTGCGGGCATTTAGTGCTGCTAACCGGCTCATTGAAAGGTTGTAGAGTAAGTGGACAAGTTATTGAGAACTTCTCAGAATTGATCATAACTTCATCATCTGAAGAAGCATCCTGCATGTCCTCTCGGGTGGGTTCTTCTTCCTCTCCCCCTTCTCCATCTTCTCCATCTTCTTCGTCATCTTCATCATGTTCGTTATCGTCATCTTCTTCACTCTCGTTATTGTTTTCATCACCCGAAGATGAAGGCTGCAGGCCCTCATCATCGACACCACCCTCGTCCATCGCACCCTCTTCAGTTTGAGCAAGTTGGGATCGCTTCTTCTTGCGCCTTTTATTTTGACTGTTAGATTCTCGTGACGCATCCAAAGATTTAAACCAGGTAGATGGATGAGGCAATGGGGGAACATCCATCGCAGAGTACTTTGACTCGTGAAGAACACGATAGAATTGCCTGTAGCTGTTGTTGGTCCCGTATCTAGCAGCATGTTAACACATAAGGCATATTTGCAAAAGTATCGAATTTTTCAGTACCTTTGTGCGAGGGAGAGTGATTCCCATTCCCTTTTCTTCTCGGCTAGTCCATCCGCAATCGTGCGAGATGCCGGTATAACCTCTACTTCAACAGGTGGTTCGGCTTCTTCGCCCTGCTCATCATCATCCGCATCACTGTCTTCTTCGTCTCGGTAGCGTCTTGCCCGTCGAGCTCTAGGATGAGGTTTTGTCGGTCCTTCCTCAGAATTTTGTGCCACTATGGTCGAAAGAAGGTCAAGCATTTTATCCGCTTGTACCTCCGTGTCAATAAGGCTCCGCATGCTCCCTTCCAATCTCTCTGTGGTATTCTTAACCAGCAGCTCAAACTGTGCCAGTTTTTCCTCTCTCTGCGCAAAATTTTCTGCTTCCCGTTGACGCTCAGCACTGCTGTCATTTCTGTCACCAGGTTCGTTATCTTTTTCCTCCCCCGCCTCCCTTTGGCGCCTTTCCTCTCTCTCCCTCCTCCGCCGCTTCAATTTCTCCAGGCGACCCTTGGCCTCTGTGAGCCTGTCATTGGTGTCCCCAACGGAGTCTGATAGCGCTCCCGTAGCATGACTTAAGTGGATCTTCAAATGGCGCGTATGAAAGGATTTAATCACTGTGTCGACCTTGCGCTTTGCGTTGGCTGTAAGCGGCGCTATTTGGGGTTCGTAGGGAGGGAGCTCAAGCGGTGCACCCATAGCTTCCGATGTGCTAGCCCGCTGCGTAGTACGGGACATTGCAGTAGATTCAGATAGACAATATCGCAAGAGAAGTGTGTTGGTTCAGTCATTCGAAGCGTTAGAATGAGTGTCGATGCTATTTGATGTTGGAGAAAAATACTCTAAGATCTGATAAGAGCGCGACGCGAAGGCGCTAGTCCCGATATAGTAGTTATATCATTGCTTCTTATTGTCTTCTAGAACTTGATAAAACAGAATGATAATAGATGGTTGCTTAAAGTTATATTATCGATCCAAGAGTGACTGCTTCAAACACTCAAGATTGACGTTAGATAGTATACAAATATCTCCTAGAGTCAGCAGCTACACCTTGTAGAAGCAAAACGCATGGTATAGACCTGGACGAGGGTGTTAGCAGGGGATCCAAGACAGAATGGAGTACAGCAAACATACTTGCTGCTTCTAGTTCATCCTCATTCACTAGCATGGAGCCGTCATTTCTAGATCGAACGCCCATACGTTCACTGAGTGGTCCTAGGACAGGATCATCCTTTTCTTCTCGCCATATATCCAAGAATGGCTTTCGGTATTGAAGCTCCAAGTTGTAATCTTCGGTTAGTCTGTACTAGTGTATGAGCAAGAATGAAATCCAAAAATGTAGGGGGTGAGAACCTACGCTCGGAATGCCTCCCATGGTACAACGTATTCCGGGATTTCCTCGACCGCCTCCTCCATAAAGTAGAAATACTTCCAGCCGAATGCAGGACGGAACACACCGTCCTCTGGGGTCTTTCCTGGAAATTTCACACGGTAGATGCTGTTCCCCCATTCAACCACATCCGTACTATCTTCTACCTCCCCATCCTCTGGCTCCTCGTTCGCTTTCTTCTTCGCATCCTCTTCCTTTTGTTTGCGTTTTTTATGCGCCTCCACAACTTTTGCGCTAATTACGTCTGAGTTAGGACCGACCCCAATGAATCGACCTCCCTTTTTGAGTAATCCAGCCACATTTTTAAGCATCTGTCTGGTCTTGACCTCGTTTTCAAAAGCATAATGCATCGTAAACATCGACACTACAACGTCGAACCCCCCTCCACCCCAGCGAGAGCTCATCATTGAGCCTCCAGGGCCAACGGACTCATCAATTCCAACTCGTTGGATTATAGGGACATCTGCAAGTGATTCACCAAAGCAATCTTTTGGAGTAAATTGAGCGTGAAAGATCGGGTTTCCTCGGCGTCCCCGGCCTCGTTGATTCTTCATTTGCATATATCGTTCGCGCGCCTGATCAAGGGAGATATCTGCCGGGTCCAAGCCAACATAAAGCTCCACAGGTTGAGGTGCCTGTTGCCATTTACCTAGGTCACCACCTTTGCCACATCCAAGGTCAACGATCAGGAGAGGTTTCTCTTCCTCTGGCGCTACAGAAGCGGAACCAGCCAAATCCCTGTCATTATGCCTGGCTAAGAAGTCTTCACTTGGGGAAAATTTCTGGATAAGTGAACTTTTAATCCAGTTATTGAAGCTGCGGAGACCCTTGATCTTGCTCTCAGTTTTTCGCCATTCTCGCCCACGTTCGGGGACAGCATTATAATGCTGCCTCACCACATCATGAACCCCGCGGGCATGTGCAGCTTGTTCAGCTTCAGCTTGCTGTTGGCGGTCTCTTTCCTCTTGCCTTCTCCTAAGAGCTTCCATGTTTGCAGCGTTTATCCTTGCACCTCCACCGGGCCTCTTGCGCTGTCGAACTGGCGCATCGGGGGAGGGAGTGCGGCGAATCGGCGAAGGGGATCGTCTCGTTTCAGGTACGGGGACATCGCGGCGAGAATAAGCAGATGGAGGTGTCTTTCCTCGTTTTCTATTCCTTTGTAGCCGTTCTTCCTGTCTCCGTCGTTTAGAGCGCGGTTGGTGCTCCTGTTGTTTCGTCTGGTCTTGCTGTTGTTCGCTCTCAGTGAGCTTTCTTTTCTTCTCATTTGGGCTCTGGGCATTCTGGGTATTCCGGATACCGTCTACCACGTCCCCGTGGGTTTCAATTGTCGAAGGAGTAGATCCATCCGTTTCTTTAACTTGGGTTTGTGGCAGCTCCGAGGTAGCTGGAGGAGAGGACTTCCCGTTAGCTTCTATGGTTGGAGCTTCCATTGGTGTGGCCCTGGCTTGCGATGCGGATGGCTATGGCCCAACCACAGAAGATGTCTTTTCTCCACCGAGGGCGTATGAGTTTAGAAGTTACAATGGGGTTTGTTAACTGTGAATGGCTTGCAGCTCTGTCTGAGATACGGTACAGTTGGACTGTTGAAGTGAGGACAAAACCGCAAACTTGTTCGCAAACTTGAAGTTTAAAATAGCCGCGGATGGTACTTATGCGCCGGCTACGCGTCTATCGCGTCTAATATTATCCATCAGCTTGGGAATCTCGGTTAGGAATGTTTGGGATACGTTAATCGCTTTCAAAGTGACTACAAGCAGATTTGGCATATATTGTATATTATGGTAAATAATAAATTAACTCAGTTAGGGTATCATAGCTTGGAATTCACTTTAGTTTTGTCTTTTTAGTTCCCTTTGGTTGAAGGACCTGTCGGACGCGCAAAAGCTTCGCCCACCACTCCCTGTCTTTGGTCTTTCTGGTCTCCTCATCTAATAACTCAGGGATGTTTTCTGTTTGGCTTGACGAGGTTTGTTCAGCTTGCAGCGGCTTATTTTTAGACCACGTATACCGTCGATGTTCGCTTTCCACCACACGGCCTAGGGCTTCCCAGCCGCATTGCCCAGACTTGTTTCCGCTCTGGGATCCAGGGTTTATCCAAGGGCAATAGTCCAGATGTTCACCAACAATATTTAATTCAGAGTAGAGAGGATCACTTCCATCTTCCCTTGGCGTATACATCCATAGTCCCAACCGCCTGAAACACGCCTTACAGCCAGCCAAGCCAGCGTTTGCTTCGCCAGCGATATCCCATCCGAAGAACGCAAGAGCAAATGCGGCCTTATTAAGAGCTGGTAATGTCTTCTCCGTGGAATCTTCTGTATCACTACTTGGCACAGAATTCGCTGGTTCACTTATCTCCGCGCGACTATCAAGGATTCCGGGTGGCAGGAAGGCCAGTGTTGATTCTAAGTTAAATTTCTCAGGCAAGATAAGAACACTTATCGGTGGAAGCCTAATACCGGCTGATACGAGATTTTTATATCGTGTCTGGAGATTCCGTAATGTCGTCTCTGCGTTAGTTAATGGCAAACGATGTATGGAGTCTATCAATATGTTAGTAAGATCCTAATAAAATATATGCTCATGTCGACGCGTAATACCATCGCAACCAGATTTCCTCCAAGGGCATTTTTCAGCATGCCCTTCAGCAATTAGATTTTGATATTTGAGGACCAATTGGGCTCCTACATTTGTGACCATCAGTAAAAGTGAGGCTAGTTCAAATCGGTTATAATTGGAAGCACGTACGAACTTCTCTCCGATCTGCTATCTTTTCACTGTCGTATTCTTCCAGCTCATCTATATCGTCGGGCAACTTAACAACAACAGAATGGCCACACCCGCCAACGCACTCAACTCGGTTCTTATCGGTGCACGACCATCCTCGCTTTGCCCATTGGACTTCATTTATAGTGTCTGGCTGCGGCTTCCACCGTTCAACGTTGCGAAACGTTTCTAGTCGTTCCAAAAATCGCTCGCGGTCCCAGGGTACAAAGCTAGGTCGTAAAGATGCGGTGGAAGGCGTCGAATGCCGGGAGATTGCTTTTTCTGAGAGTAGAACGGGTGAATCGTCGGAATTATCACTTCCTGATAATCGAACACGTTTTATTGAAGGGTTTATTTGTGCTGTTCCGTCAAGCATGAGCTTGTTGCCTGATGAGGATTGCTGTGCTGATGTTGGTTTCTGAGAGGCTCCGAGGGAGATGGAGTCTAGAACACGGTGAAACTTTCGTTTCTTTGAAGCCAAAGCATATGACATTTTCGTATTCTCGTTGTTTCTCTGGAGTTGAGCAAGGTCTGCTGTCCGTTGCAAGACCCTGTGTCCATGATAGCTGATAGCAAAGGGAGGATTATGTAATAAGGTTTAGTATTCTCTTAGGTAATCAGTCTAATTGAACATCAAACTTCTGTGATAAGTTGTTTGAACCATAAAGAATACAACTTCTAATAACCATTTATATCTTCTCAATAACCTACTCACAGGAGGCCTACATTGGTACTACCGATATATGTACTACCACAAGATTAGATATGGAAGTCGATCTTGTCAATTATGAGAATTTGTCCGGTGGATACCCAGATACCCATCCAACTGGAACTATGGAACACTGGAATTCCGATGAACTGACCTCTACTGAAGGTGTAGAGACTTCATTTGCTAAAGCAGATGATATAATGAAAAATGATTTGCCATATCATTGTGCCTTCAATAAGAAAGCCACCATGGCCATCTCGCCAAGGTATACGGACATATATGCTAGTCCAACGGATACATACATATCCCCTCAAAATGCATCACCTGAGTCACTCTCATCTCACCCGGATCTCGGCAAGAGGGAAGAGTTTGTATCTTCTGATATACCTGTAGACGATGAATTTACTGTAAGACCGCCATCATCTACTCATGTTTCTTTTGCTTTAGTTTTATTGACTCTCTGCGATCTTTTCCCTTTCTGTCTCTCTTTTCATACCAAGATATTTTTAGTCTAATTGAGTCTTGACTTTAGAGTCCTATAAATGATGGTACTTGGCCAGTCGCAAGTCACCGTGAAGCCAGGGCTTCTGAATTCACTTCAACCGATAACAATATGAGGTGTAGAATAGAACCCCTGTCAGTGGCATCCCGCAATAACCACTCAAGCAACAGTATCAATCCAATTTATAGGCCTACTGATCGTATTCCTGGAATGGACGATTATAATAGAACTCCAGGGATTCGTTCGTTCTACGAAAATAAAAATACATTTACACACGGAGCTTCTACATCGAGTCAAAATTTTGAGGATGTCAACATTTCTTTACATATCAACCCTCGTTTTGGGAGAACCAGCACGTACAATACGTCCACTGTAGATAAATATCATCGCAGCCATAGATCAAAGGTACGTCGACACACCGTTTTGCCTCTTAAAAAAAAAAAAAAAAAAAAAAAAAAAAAAAAAATGAGTGAGTGATCTTTATGTAAAGGATACTGATTTTTCACCCCCAACCCGATGCATTTCTAGTCTACTAAACTTGATCCGTTTATTCGCCGCACGTTTCCTTCTCATGTAACAGAACCATCTGCAGTTCAAGGGTTGAGCTCAGACCAGATTTTCCTGCGGACACATTTTCGCATTGGTGAAGCTCTTGCTTTCCATAATACCCCGGTTATCAGAAATGAGAAGCCTGTTCCCAGAACTACCTTGGTGGAACTTTATGCATTTGTGACCGAATCTTACCGCAGCGGACCTATCCAAAAATTTACCTTCTCGGATATATTCTTCCCTACATATCCTCCCCAACTAGTGGGAGAATGGAGCGGATGGCAACATAGTAGCTATCTCAACCAAGTGGGTAGATACTTTTTGACTGACTGCGAGACTAGCCGCTTTCATGTCCATGGCGGAAATTTTAATTCTATACAGGGTATCCCGGGCCACAGAGCGGAGTCACCCAAAATGTGTAGAGTTGTCGGCATCCTCTCGCAAGACAATAGCTCACATTTGAGAATTAGACCTCCTAGACAACACTTTTCAAACCGCCAACTAGGAGACAAAAAGCTAAGGATACTACGTATTCAGAAGGCCGATTGGTCAGACATCCAGATGATGAAAGAAGCTCTGAACATCTAAGACTAATGTGTTCAATGCCGGCGCGATATGTTTGCAATTACTTATCATCGTTTAGCATGTATGCTTACCCAACCATCACTCGCGGCTGTATACGCTAATATCACATTATTGAAGGGAAATTAATTGTAGCTATAGAGCGATGAGTAGTTCTAGAAGATGCTGACTAGGTTGCGCCAAAATTATTAATCAAATTATGATAACATATTTTATCTCAATAGTGAAAGTGCGTATAGAAGATACGGTTAAATTTATCTAGTTAAGGTAACACTTCTAGTCAAACTATATTATACTGAATATTTGATGCTGGCAACAAAACATATATATACATAAAGAATCACAAGACAAAAGACCTTGTACACTAGGATAGTCCAACCCTCGACCTCCCCTACCAGAAACGAATCAAATAACATGTTATAATTATTGGTGTCATAGACCCGATGGGGCAATTATGATATGGCGAGCTAGGAATTTACACCAGCTTGGCAGTTATCTGATACGCGAGGGGCCTGGTGCAGCTGGTTGTGGCCGCTTATATTTTCTTGGATCTAAACATAGGGAAAACCGTTAGTTCTCTGCATAATCATTTTGATGGTAACGGACGATTATCCATCCAGAATAGCCACCTACCTTTCCTATTCATTAGCTGCTTGTTTCTAGTACCTTTGCCTCCCTCCCAAAAGCCGGTGGAAGTTCTATCAACAAGCAAAGACTTGCATAGACCGCAATTCTCCGGCCGATACAACTGCTCACGAGAGCAGAAACCGCTACATTGATGAAGACATAAATATTTAGCAAAGATCACTAGCAATTGTGAAATCAAATTTTCACCGTGCTGCTAGATAAGGGGCAATGTATACCAGATCATTCGATTCGCATGTTCGTTCGGATGGTCGGATGAAGCGTCATGACACCTTGACGAAAGCAATTAGATGATGTTATTTGAATATGTAAACCATGCTCTTTATGGTCATATAAAAACAATTACCTATCACACGGAAACACTCTTGAGCAGCAACTAAACCTATAATACAGCGTTAGGAATATTCACAGCCAACCAGGTATAAAAAATACCAAACGGATGTAGATCCTGATAATAAGGTAGGAATGCTTAGAAACTCACCTAAACCACCTATAACTCTTACTATAATGAGTACATGCTCCTCGACGAGGTAGCTCACTCCCTGAAGTAATCCCCAACAGTTCATTCCGCTATAAAGAGGAAATAAAAAAAGAAAGTGTCAGCATACCAGCGGTTCAGTGTGTTCAACCAATATATTTTCTTGTGTGTGGTGGGGAAAGACAAAGAACAAGTAGGAGAAGGAGAAGGGGAGAGGGAAGGAGAGTCTCGAGAAGCATCTAGGGTAAAATTTTGGCTTGCGGGCCGATCTCGAACCTTTTTGTGTTGCCGACCTGGGCGTAAAATATCTAGAATTGATGAATGTTAGCGTTCCGAAACTATAGTTAGAGGCCAAAGGGAAGGCACGCGTTGGTATTCCAAGAAAGTCACAGATCGAAAATAAAATAAATAAATAAATATAAAAATCGAATGTTTAACTTGGCATATAAAATTGAGACTGGGCAAAAATGCAACCTGGGAAAGTAAATCTTCCCCGTCAGACCTTAAAAGATCAACAAGATGACCTGTAGTTGGGGGTTATCCATGCCCAGAAATTTGCCTCCCAGAGACTTGGTATGAGGGTGTCCGTAGCAGGCTGATATGAGATTGGGCACAACCAGGAGTTGATATCAGGCCAGTAGTAGGGTATTAATGTTGAAGACGGAATAAATAAAGATCAGGACACCATCTGACTTACCTTGAACATCACCGACGAGTAAAAATTTAAGATCAGGAAGTTTAAAACCTATCATTCAACACCCCGATTCGTAAGTTGTCAACAGACCAATATTGCTGATCAATAGGAGATCCCGTCTATGGCGGGCAAAGACTAGATTGGACAATAAGTGCATTTCATCGTAAGACAGGACGTACTCATCTTCTGGTGACAGGCGCGGCAAAATGTCAGGGAAGCATCTCCTTGGAAGGCTGTGACGCCCGGTGCAGGATATGTGGTGGAACATTTCGAACAGGTCGGAGTGAAATTGCTAAGCGTATGGATTAGCCAGGCTCCATCCAAGTCCCACAAGCCTATGATGGTTTTGTATGACGTATGAGGGAGGAGGGGATTTAACGGGCCGTAGCCTTCACTTCTCCCTTCTCCTCTCAAAAGGTAGGATATTTCTTTTCTCACCTTGGAAGTAGGTCGGAAGGAATGCATCCTTCGAGTGTTAATGTGCCCGCACGGTTCGATCCGTTATGCATGAGCTCACGGTGAAAGCCTAGGAGATATTGCAACATTAGTAAAGGAGATATATGAATGAAAACACCGAGATAGGCCAAAACTAAGATAATTGCAGCAGCAAATGCCACCTTTAACCTCATAGTCATAGTCCCTTGAATCTTTGCTTACCTACACTGAGTCGATTTGAACATTTTCGACAGCTTTCAACCCTATAATGAGGGGTACTGTGGCCATCTTCCCCGATTTTTATATTCTTCATATCTTGTAAATGCTTGCACCGGGCACATCTAAGAGTAAGGGACAAACTCTTTAATTCGAGCAATTCAACCCCTTGAAGTTCAAGTGCCGGGCACGATATTAAAACCTTGCGGCCACTCCCAAAATGCGCATGATTTTCAGCAGTTGTGTCATCATCACCTTCTTCACTGTCAGTTTCATCAGGAGATTCCCACTCGGGAGGCCTAGGGATAACTTGAATATGTGATTTGCCTTCCGAGTTTTGGGGCTTTGCGTCAACGGTAGTTAATTGGGATGCTTTTACGAGCGGCGATGGTGGCGACCACTTGTCATGAGGCTGTTCTTCCAAGGATAATGCACTTAATTCCTCATGAAGATCTACCTCTTGTTCAATGGGTTCTTGGTATGACATTTTGTGCATCATTGCAGCGAGGTAGTTAATATGAGCGGTTAGACTGATTCCCGGGCTATCCATGGAATGCTGATAGAATGCCTGTTCTGTCACTCGTGCAGAACTGTCATTAATGTCAGGAATCTTGATTCGACATGGCTCTCCGGGGTAATTTGACGGCACTATCAAGATTATGCTTTTTATGTTGCGGAGGGCCTTTGGGAGCTGCATCGGTTGAAACGGTTTGATAGCAATCGTAAAACTGACCTGGTCCGAATGTGCTAGGAATAAAGGATGTGTACCCAGACGGGATTTTAACTGTCCAACCTCTTTCATTCTTCTCTGAGGATCTCCTATTTCTGATACTCTGGCTACCCTCTTGTTTTTCTGGTTATCAGAAGGCGTTTTGTATTCGAAACTCATAGTAGAGCGTAACCTTTCCGCAGATGGGGGATCATATGTATCCGGAACGGGAGTAGCAGAAAGAAGATTTGCAAGATGCCTGTCGAGGGCATTCATGCAATACAATAGGTTACCAGACTTGACATCTTTCGACACTTGCTTGAACTTTCGTTCCACAAGCTTTCTCTTACTCGCATCTAGACTGCCGTTGCTCACTTCAAGAGAAGGTTCACCATAGGCTGGATAGGTCGCAGGAACTCTTAAAATACAGTCTAGGCCGGTAAGATCGTAGGAAAAGTCTGGGTCCGATGGCTTCATAGTGAACGTCAGATGAGTGGCATGAGCGTCATGGCGCTCCTTCGGGCTGAACCTACGGCGGATTTGATTAATTTGAAACTCCCTCGGGTTCTCCATTTCCGCACGTGATACAGGTTTCTGAACAAAATGAGTGCCTTCAGAAGCGGCTGTTGGTCGTTGGTTGCTTAGAGGTAGTCCAAATAACTGCCTTGTGAACCCCTTTTCTTCTTTGAATTCGGGTGGGCTGTTCTCACTCGGGATAAAATCCGTTTCACAGGGGTCATTTCGCCCTTGACCGGGTATTTCCGATTCTTGCTGAAAAGTTCCGGGAAGCGGAGTAAAGTTGACCGTGCCATGAATATCGTTAGAGGCAGCTTAGCAATAGTCAGTATCTTAGGGTAAATCGTAGAAGTATAGAAAGACGCTGATTAAAACATTGCAAAGTGGGAAGAAGTCCAAACCAGGATAAAAACAAGCGAGTGATTATACAAATGGATATGCTTCTGACAGACAATTTATCTCAAGCATAGAAAGCTCCACAAATGCGCGACATGCGGTGTTGTGATACAACTACCCTGTGGCACATGCCCGGGGTAGTTAAAAAATAATCCAACAGTAGAGCTGCAATGACCAAAGGAGGTAAATGTAATTGCAAAACCGTGTCAAGGAAATACCAAATACCAAATGGGTTGAAAACCAACATGGCTGGCTGTTCTCCCTTAAATGATGAAATTTAAACAATATACTAACGGAGTGAACGGTGATTAGGCTTCCTACCTTCAAACTGATGGGCAACAGCAGCTACATTTCTGCAAGCATGATATGGCGGTGCTCGAAGAGGTACTGGTGGATCCTCACCTAAAGAATTAGGTCTTATAAGCAGGTCTTCCTTAAAGGCAACACTGAAGTTATACTGCTTGACGCTCACTGGCATGCATATAAGCGCTCAACCAGCCTTTCGGGATCCAGGAGTAATGGTGCATATTTTCCCCTATGGTAGGCTAAAATGCGATATGTATGCAAGATGACTTGGTAAAGCGACCAATATGTCAGGCCAAGGGATTGAGGAATTTCATCATAGCCATATAACCAGGTCTTAAAGGGTTATAGATCAAGTATAGGCTCAGAGACAGGGGATGACGATGCAGTATGTTTACACGACATCGTTGCGCTTGTGCTCAATAACTGTCGCTTCAACGTGTGGCTATAAGGCTCAAATGGGTATATGGATGTCAACTGGCTGGCTTACCGTGTATACCTGCCATTGCAGCACACTGAGAAATCAGCCAGGTCTCTGGAAATGGGGTTGTTGGGATATTGATAGACGAGAGGTAACTACGTGTTACCTCGCAAGGTTCCCGTATTCCTAAGTTGCAAGGCTTGAAGTCAAGAGAACTTCGTCACTTCAACGCGGGAGCTAAGTGCCAGAAGAGCTTCGAAAGCCAGTACTGCGTACAGAACTTCTTCAATATTGAAGAAAAAAAATTTAAGAGAGGAAAACAAGCAACAAGTTCTGCAGTCCAGCACAGAGCTGCAAAGTCCGCGACCTGCATCAAGTAGCTATATCAGCCCAACGAACGCGGTTGAAACGAGGCTTCGTGGACGTCGAAATAATTATGTGGAACTTAACTGCTTTTCGCTAAAGCGAGGCATACAATTCACATACTTTTGGTGTAACTTTGTACCAGTACTCAGGGTAGAAGTATTGATGTCAGCCCCAGCTAGCATGCGTTGGCCGTGGCCATGCAGGTCATCCGGTGACCTTGAGAAAACGGGCGAACGGAGAGCGACAGCGCAGCAGGGTAGTGAAGAGACAACAGAACAGTATCAGCAAAACGGACAGCTGGATAACGGGCCCCGAGGCAGCTTGTGACGTGCTCTTCTGAATTGATGCTCTAGATGTTGGTGAGAAGACAGGGGAAAGGGAGAAGGTGATGTCTGCTTGTGAGTCAAGATAAGTCTTGGTGAGCCGCATGCAAGCACGTGAGCAAGTAACTAACGACCAACCTGGAACTTAACTAGTTAGTTAACGAGTTAGACGGGAACCAGACCAGTAACCTCAACTGTCGACGGGAGGTCTAGTAACTCGCAGTGAGAGCTATCAGACGGAGTGGTGAGCGCTGAGAGTAAAAGTGATCTGTAACCTTGGGTACATTGGCCGAAAAGGGGTGGGTTCGTTTTGCCCTGTCAGTTAACCGGGAGGGACAAGGGACCTTGCACGCTTGACAGACCCGATCAAGTCAGCTCTCTGTTCTGTCAGTCCACAAGCGCTGGTTTTGTGACCAGAACTCAGCTCAGGCAAGTAAGTAGCTAGCTGACGCAAAGCCCGCCGCCTATTACTACAGTTTTGCTTACCTGCTCTAGGGGTACTCGAGGTACAAGTATGTGTGATGTATAGCTCAAGGAGCTGTAACTTGCAATCTGTCATAAAGCAATTCGATGAAGTTGTTTCCAGAGGTATGGCAGGGCTTGACACTATAGATATTCCGTGTCAGCCAATACTGAGGAAAAACAAGATATGTACGCGCCAGAAAATCGGTTATCTAGAGTGTAAATGGGGTATACGGGTGATTTATCATTTATCTTATACTTTGGTTCCGCTCACGAAGGACTTGCTAACCTTGTCCAGATGTCTAGACAATGTGGAAGTATCAAAGAACAAACAACATGTAGTTTTTCCGTTGAAAAGCTCTGTATAGTGGATCAAAAGACCATTTATCCATCAGGGGCAGCATTTACTTGAGCCCATCAAAATGTGAGGTGTCGTTTCGTAAATTATTCTATAGCTAGAGAAGAAATCTGTCCTTACTAGAGTACAAGTCCAAAAAGAAGAAGAAGAAAAAAAATCTAACTTGGTATATATCATACACATACTCTGTGGTATGTATATTCAACCCCATTAAAGTATGAAGATAACTCGTCCAGACGAGGCCCATACATATCACATCTATAACAGAATCACCTAGGATATGCTGATGTAGAAGTATTAAGTGCATTTTCCTTCTTTCAACAACGCAGTTAAAGTAACTACCTGGAAACCTCGACTCTTCAGTTCTGGTAATAACTTCCGTAGCATTGGTGGCGTCCAGGATCGCCCATCATGGCAGATTATTATTCCTCCGGGGTGTATGGAACTCAATATATGCCAATTATTAATTTTCCAGAATGGCACGAAGGGGTCATGAGGATAGATATCGCCGAGGGCGAGATGGTATCCCATTTTTGAAAGAATATCCCTCATTTTTGTGGAAAAAAATCCACCACCTGGGCGAAAATACAAGGCGCGCTGAGCCATTTTGCTATCCAAGCCCACATCGTTTGCTCCTGAACGGGCAGTGGCTTCGATATCAGATATTATCTTCTGGACGCAGTTGATATTATCGATGAGTTCGGCTTCGCTTAACAAATAAGAGGGCTCGTCACGCATGGCATGATTCGCCAATTCATTTCCATGGCGGATGAGGTCGCGCAGAATCTCCTCACGATCAGGTGTTGCATGGGATCCGATAACAAAGAAAGTCACCGTCGCGTCGTTGGATTTAAGGATATCTAGTATCTCTGACGTGTACTCCGATGGCCCATCATCAATTGTAAGCGCAACTATCCGTTTAGAAGTCGCAACATTCCACAGGACATCCTCCCATTGGCGCTGGGCAAACCGGATAACAAATCTGGGAGGTTTGTACAAAATATAGAGAGGAATTATTATGAGGATAGCAGCAAGGGCATAGCCAAATAGTGACAGCATTGGGAGGTATCAGAGCAGGATATCTAGTTTTCGGAACAGGCGTTATGGTTGTTGTTGATATTATTGTCCTAGCAGAAGAGGTGCTGTTTCATTTAACTCACAACCTTAGCCTAACTGGCGAATCAACCTAACTAACTAGTGTCTTGCTAAGTCCAGATCAGGAAAGGAGGCTCAAGCGCGTGTTAGTTAGCGACTAGCAACACTTTAAAAGAACCTCGTCTTTGAATATCCCCAGGCTGACAGAACGTCTACTATCGATCTCTCAGTCTGAGGCCCTTACAGTGATTTCGACCAGGTTATCAACCAACCTCATATTGCTCCATCGTCTTAGGGAGTTGCTAGAGCTGTTGGGTCATGCCTATTGTTTCCAGTTCCGTACTACCCGAACTACCTACGGTGTTTCAAATGAACCGCGATCTTAGACGAATATCCGACGCTCAAATGACACGAGGTGTCTAAGGAAACTCAGGTTAAAACTCACCGATGCGGAAAGTACTCTCTGTGTAACCGACAAGAAGTGCTAAATCAGAGTCCATATTGAACATACCTTTGCTCTCTGAGCATCTAGAAGCATTCATCGCTTCTCATACTCATTGAGGCTATCAGTGCGAGATGGGATGCCACCCTAAATGAAGCCCTGATACCACGATAGGCAATTTAATTCAACATGGGGTGACATGGTTCAATTCCTTCTATATATAACATAATCCCATGAATTCAACGTTTGCGAAGAAAAGTGGTTTATACCGCCCGTCACCCTTTAACTTCTACTCTCGTATCGCATTGATCAGCTGCCTTAATATGATACCTAATCCTTCGCAGTTGAAAATAAGGGTTCATTCTCCGCTCTTTCTGTTGTTCCCATGGATAGCGGAGGACTCCGAGGGAAATCCAAAATTCCAAGGCTGATACACAGAAGCTATTGCATATGACTTCCTACCTGCACGCTTACTTGCATAGCAGCCGGATAAATGAAATCCTGGGCCCTGCAGGAAAGCCTCAGCCTTAGCTGAAGATATCAAAATGTGGAGATGGATGCCAAATGTTCCAACCATGGGCAAAGCCAAAAAAAACTTCTTCCACGGTTTTTATCCAGCAACCTACCACTCTAAATTTTTGCGGCTTCAACGAGCCATGTCTTTAATGCACAAGACAGCATGTTAATGTTGTATGACATACAACGTCTTATATTACTGATGTTCGCCTATGAATTACGAATTGGAAGAATGATTGTGCAATTCACCATCCCAGTTGAGCCCTTCCAAGTACCCTGCAACTTCTCAAAGTAACAAAGTAAACATTCCATTGAAACCCCCACCTTTACTGATTGTATATATATGCAGACATTCCTCCTAGAGACACGATTTCGCAAATCGAAAGGAGGGGTACACCCCGAGACGGTGTGGTACGGAGTAGGATTACTTATCAATGCATCCGCGGAGGATTATCCCCCTCAGTCTAACCCTTGCGCTTTCGCCACACAGAGGTACCAATAATCATCCTGCCCACATGCTCCATTGAGAATAACCCGTTCAATTTTATCTCCGCGCTTGAGAATGGCACTTAGCTGCGGCTACATCTCGAGTGTTCGCCTACTACAAACCCCAGTATGAAGACGATAGGTGTGTTGACAGTATAGAAGAAACAGTAAGGCTTCCAACACCAATTCTCAGCGCCTCTGCATGTCAAATGGATGTTGTTGTCTTGATAACCTCACTGGCGCGCGCTTCCGTCCGAGCTACCCTTGGAAACCTTTCTGGCACTCCTCCAGCTTCTGGAGATTGAAATATCGGTAACGTTCTGTAAGGAGACGTTCTAAAACGCCATCCCAGGTTTTATACCAGATGCCATTTAACCTGGCTCACCCGCATGCATACCCAGGCCCGTATTTGAAAAAAAAATCTCGAGAAAAAGGCGGAGAAGCAAAAGAATAGGTAACTACTAATAAACGAGGGGATATGCAGAAACTGGTCTCTCCATGATAACTCCCCGTCCGGAATGCAACAGTGTGAAGATCCTCTTCAACAAACTACGAGAGAAAAATGGAAAGGAGGATAAAAATCAACTAGGAAGGTGGCAACCGTAGCTTCTTGTACCCATACAAAGGCCTTCGGACAACGACAGGGCGCTGGATGGCTTTCTGGGAGACGAGCTGGGATTCGGCTTGTGAACTCCGCATATAACAGGGGGTCAGCTATTATGCCGATAGCCAAGTCAGCGTAAGGTTCTATGCAT